TTAAGTTGTTTCCAGTTGTACAGTAAAGCTAAGTAGCTCTGTTTCTTCTGCCGTGGAGTGACTGTTACCCCTGAATGTCAGGAATCCTGTGGAAATTGTGTTGTCTCTGGGTATTCTGTCAGCTTGCAGATAAGAAATGAGTCGATGCTGTTATGCTCAAGTCCCCAGCAAGCTGTTGGCTTCATTTTGTTAAGCCTTGTTACTGATTTAGTGATGAGCTAAAAGGTCAAAAAATTGCAGAGGCTTCTCACCTCTGGCCACTAGAAGTCTCTGCCGGACCAAAATGAGATGTGTAGCAGGAACTAACGTCAGGGGAGCTTGCCTTGCTTGCTCTTGCAAATGTCATTGTGTGACTTAGTTTTCTAGTGGTGCTTAAATCTGGTTCCCTTGGAGAGTAGTAACTCATTAGGCACATGCAGGATACACAGGCAGTATTTAAACCTGATGAAACCAGGCCAAAATACCGTGCCTCAGTGGCCTGCCAAAGCTGAACTGCACAGAGCCCAAGAGTTTATGCTTGTGTGTGAACTTCTGAGGTGGTGCATGAGGTTTACCATTCATGCTAGCCAGACAGCAGGCAAGTGACCTGTTCATGCACATAAGAACCACCAAAAAATATTTTAACTTCAAGGCCTTGCACATAATGTGCAAAGAGTTCCTCATGTGTGGTTCCCAGAATATGTGATGTAACCCAAACCACTAAGTTGCATTGTGCAGAATATTCCTTCATCTCTATTCATGTGTGCATGGCTTCCTGGGGAAACTTTTCATTATTTTTAAAAGGGTCTATCATCTTCGGTTAAATAGGCAAAAAATTGGTGCACTACACCTCTAGTTATTAGAACTGCACAGTATTTCAGCTTGACCTGTACATGTTTACAGGTAGTGTTATCATTCAGTATTATCCCATTGTTTGGTGGTCTTCTTTTTACCTGCTATGTAATCAATAAAAAGGATTTTTCTGTTGCCCTTCTGGTGTCTTCTGTGAGAGAGTCTCCCCTTCCTTTCAATGTTTGTAAAGATGGTAAGATATTTCAGCAGAAAGGGAAAGATTTCTTTTCTTAGTTATAAAACATCAGAAATGAATGAATGGTCTTAAATTTGACAGAGTTGGATGTTCAGACACATAACTGAGAAATGGCAAATTGATTAATTTAATGAAATTGTGTAGCTGTTTAAGTGACTGTTCCCTTAAGTGCCATGTTAAACATCAGCAATATGCGGTACAAGAAATATGAATCACAAACATAAGTGATGTTATCTTCAAGAAGATTGATGTAAAGAAAAAATAAATTGTTTATTACTTTATAGATTGCTCTGGTTCTTCTTCTTTTTTTCATATACAGATGGAAATATCTGCAGGTGTCATCAGAATAAACCAGTGGTAGAGCTTGCATTTTTGTCTGATAATGAAGTGTGAGAGGATCTCTATAAAGGAACATACATGTAAATTTGGCTTTGAAGCATGAAGATGTTAACCATAGACATGTTGCATACAGGTGATGCTAACTGGTAAACTTGTCATTGGTGTCCTTCATTTCTTGGGAGAAGAGAGGAGGGGAGACAAAATTTGCATAAGTGTTCACAGGAATTTTCTGAATTGACACACTTTCTGGGAAACATCTGTATAATATCTCCTGGCACCCCAAAAGCTTTTTTAGGAGGCTTGGTACTGATGTTCTGGCACAGTCTTTTGTAGTCAAATAAATAATTTCAGCTGTTTTGAAAATTTCACCAAGTACTCCATTAATTTGGAAATCAAGTCTCAATATCTGTCTTTCAGATTTGAATTTTGCACTTTGGAATTGCTTGAGTGCCTTAAAGAGGGAATACCTCAGCTACTTCATGTTACTTCATAGCTAAGTGTAAGGGAGGAAGGAAGAAGAGTTGGGACATGACTGTAATTGCATTTCCAAGCCTGTCTTTGGTATCAGAGGTGAATAGTGCACAGTTCTTGTCCTCTGGCTCTGCTACAGAATGGCAAGCTGTTATAGGAGTAGATATTGGCACAGCTGGAAATCTGTTCAAAGGGATTGCAAAACAGGATAGAGATCAGCAGTTGAGGCAGAGCACAACTATGGCCTAAAGACCTTGTATGCTGTAGGCTGAAAGTTTTAAGCCAGAGAAATAAACAGAAAATTCTGGGAAGGGAGTGCATGGGGAGCAATGTCCTTCCATGGATACTTGGCATGTTTAGCTTGAGTAGGTTGTGTTGCCCCGAGCAGCTGCTGGGGCCTGCAAAGAACAGCTGAGACTCCCATTTGCTCCTTAGAACTAGATTTGAAGCATCTGCTTTCACTGGGATTGCAGTAAGGATGTGAGTGTGGCTGATGAATGTTAAAAACCTGGTTCCTAAAAAATGCATAACTCAGTATAAACACAGCTGGCCTGCTCTGAACTGAGACCAAATACCTGCAGAGTCTCACTGCTCTGGCTGCCTTAGGAACACAGAGAACACTCTGAATCTGCTGGTATTACAAGGTGTCAGGTGTTCCTTCTCTGGGATTTTCAGAAGTGCTAAACATAGCTTTCTTATCTGCAGCTCCTTGACCTCCACAGAAAGCAGAATCCATGTAGTGCTGAAGCTTTAAGAATTCCCACACATGAAGTATGTTGCCTCAGATAATGCAAAGGAAGGGTGTGCTCTGCTTTGGAAACTTCCCCCCCTGGATAACAAGGTAAAAGGTTCCATCAGAAGTTAGCAGAGTAGTATTTTCACTATGATTATCAGCTGTAAAAGCCATATTTGTCTTCAGTTCAAGGATGCCCACCTGCAGTGCCAGCTTTTCAGACCATGAGACTAGAAAGCAAAACTCAGGACTATATACTGAATGTGATTTTTAAAAACACAGTTATTGAAAATATATCTCTCCAGTAATTATGACATTCAGTATTAGAATATGCCTGGTAAATGACGATGACTTTGGCCAACTAAGATTCCCCTGGTCTTGAGCAGCTGCATTTTGCCTTTCTCTCTCAAATGCAATGTCCCTTTGGTACGTACAAACCAGCTATGTGCAGTGAGTTGCCCCTAAGTTGTCAGGTTTGAGCTCATGAATGGAATCAGTGATGTCTTCAGGCACCGTGATTGGTGATTAAACTGTGGAATTTTGCTATTTGCCTGTTTTAAAAAGTGCAGGTGGTGTTCTTCTGGTTTTTAATCCTGGGACTCCCCCCTTGGAACATGTTTGGAACCTATAAGATGTGGGTTTCCTACTTTGTCACTTCTAAAGGAGGCTGGCAAATGTGTGGCTGCAGTATTTGCTGGTGCTCTCTGCTTGAAACACTGCTCAGGTTTGAGTTGTCTTTCTTTCCCTGTACGCACATAAAGGCTTTTACCTTCATCCAAAGATGTTACAAAGAAGTCTTGAGTTAATGTTTTAAGGGTGAATAACAGAAGCATGCAAGTGCAACATCCTTCTTAGGCAGAACTTGTATTTGGGCTTACAAACCCTATGGACGTGGCAACAGGGGTGGGATTCAATCTACCTTCACTGCTCTTGGAAACCTTTATTCAAAGTGAGGTTATTCTTGGTCTAGGGAGAGCTTGTTGCAATTTGAAAAGCAGCTGTAGCCTCTCAGGGTGTTTTGTTCCCTTCCTTGCAACTAGGAGCAAACAAAAGTGGTGGCCTTCCCAGTGCCCTTTTGCTCTGAGAATTTTGTAGTATGATTGCTGTGACTTCCACGTGATCATATCCTGTTGTAGAACTAAAGATGAGAAATTAAATATCTTTATTTCACTTTGAGAGAGCTCTGAATGCTTCCACTGCCCTTTGAAACATTTACTATTGCTCCCATTTCCTGTTCTCCACCCTGTGTAGTATCAGATGCAGCCACTTTCCTTTTGGAGTTGGAAGAGCTGCGTGGAACGTGTGGGCTGTGAACACCACTCCCAGGGCAGGCAATCAGGGGCACAGTTCATCCTCTTCACTGGGGACAAGCCAAGTTCCTTTTTAACTGTGATAATGAAAACCACTGCCTTTAGGTACTTGCCTAGAATAAATCACTCTTAAATTTAGCTGTCTTCACACTGTACTGCAAAGGAAAACATCCTGCTTATTTATGTGTGATAATTTGACATTACCATTGTGTTACCTTAATCACATAGAGGATTGGAAGAGAAGGCAACCTGGTGCTTGTAATTTATTTTGAACGTGTGAACAATCCCACTTTTTTATTCATTAGCAAATGATGGATAATAACTTGCCCAGAAGAAATGTAAGGAGACCTAAGAGTGTTTACTGTGATAACTGTGTGTCAAATGAAGCCGAAGAAAATCTAGTTTTACAGGTTTATGATACGAGAGTTCACAGATGAAGGATGTCATTGTTGGAAGGCAACACTAGCACTACGGCAGCATGGGAAGCAGGATGGCAGAGGTTTGTTACAGTAGTGCATGTTACAGTATTAATTGAGCTGCACAGTAAGATCTGGGAGCCTGTGCTGTTCTTTGTCACAGCGGTCTCTTGAAACAACGGGCAATTTCACTGGGTAATGGTGAGTTTCAGACCATGCAGTACCAAATCTAGGCTTGTGTTTCTGTTTCGGCTTGTAGAGAATAAAACTTAAGTGCCTCTCCATTGGATTTGTCTCCTCAGACTTATTTTCTTAGTACTGCTTTCACATATCCTGTATGTACTAAAGCAAGGAAATGGGATTCTACATCTGAGACGTTCCCCAGTGAGCCTGGGTGAGCTGCGTTGGACTGGAAGGCTTTGGACCGGCCCAGCTTGAGGTGTCTGCATCCCATCAGGGGCGGTGCAGGTGTGGCGCGGTCGGGGTGGTGCTGGGTGCCCCGCAGGCTGCATTGCCCCACACTGCCATAGACAGCATCGCTGCGGCCGGAGCGATGATCCCGCTGCCCCTGCAGCCAGCCCGGCCGGTCCCCGCCCGCCCTCTCCTCACGGGGCTGCCCTGGGCGGGGCGCGGAGCCGAGCCCGTCCCTCAGGGCCCGCGGCGGGCGGGGCCCTGCGGCTCCTCCGCCCGGCCCGGCCCGGCCCGGCCCGACCCGACCCTGCGCGCTCCGGGAGCCCGGCGGACGCGGTAAGTGGGAGCTGCCCCCTCAGCTGGCGGCGCCTCCGCAGGTTCCCTTCTCCGTCTTCCTCTGGGTCTGTCCCTTAGGCTGAGCCGCCCTCAGGGCGCTCCCGCTGCGTGTCCCGCCTGTGAGGGGTCGCGGCTGTGCAGCCCCTCTGGCCGGGCAGCTCCGGGGCCGCCGGCGGGTCCGTCCCGCGGGGCTGGGGGCGTGCGGACCCTCGGCCTCCTCAGGGCGTCTGCGCTGGCTGTGTGTGTGCCCGCAGCCGCCAGCCGGGGCAAAGGCAGCTCCCCGCAGCATCCCCACCACGAGCAGCTGTCCCCGGCAGGTTCCACTGGGGCCGGGCAGTGCCGCGGTGCCACAAGTGCCCCTGTTGGTGTTACAAGCCGCTCGGTCTGGCGCGGTTCCTGTCCGAGGCCATCGGGGACATTCAGCGAATGCTGTGCTCAACTTCCATCGTTTATCCGCAAGTTTCTTCCTGCCTTTTCCCTCAAGCAGCTTCACTTGGATTTCTCTACACCTGTTCCTCTGGCCAGTGAGCAGGGGGTCCTGGAGCAGCACAGGTGGAGGGGACCGGTTAGGCTGGCCTGCATGCATGTAGGGGACAGTCCAGAAGGAAGATGTGAGTTAGAGAGTGAAAATGCGTGGCAATTGCTCCTGCTTTGACTGATCAGTCACCAGCTGCAAAAGGACCAAAGTCACAGTGCTCACTTGCTTAATGCGTGAGGTAAAAGCTCATCTCTGGCCCTTTTTTGAAACATCAGCTGGTTTCAGACTTTCCCGTGCCTTTCTTTGTGCAAGAAACAGAGATCGCAGAGGCAGGTTTCCCTTGACTTTGGGGCAGTGCTGTGAGTGATGTGCAGCAGTAATCCTGGAAGGCGCCTCAGGGACGGGGACAGGCTCTGCCCGTGCCAAGCCAGCGTGCCTGGCCTTGCGGGCTTCCCCTGCGCCCTGAGCGCCCATCCAGGCTGTGCTCCCACCCAGCTCATCGCCCAGGCACGCCGGGCTTTGGGATCCCTGCCCTTGGCTGGCAGCTGGAATCAGCTGCTGAGCCAATGTGGTTTGTACATGTGCTTGAAGCGGAGCCTTGGAAATAGCCTTGGGTCATTCGCCGCACATGTAATTACTGCAGGGTAAATTTGGGGGGTCAGAAAGGGAGCCCTTGTGAGTTAGTGGCAGGAGCAGTGATTCCATATCCCTGGGATTGAATGCTCAGGTGGTCGGTGTGTTTTGTGTTCTTTACAGACACACAGTAGTAATAGTTGCCTTAATTTCCTGGCAGAAGAAGTTTTAGGCTACTTTTCAAAGTGTTTCAGTGAAAATAAAGATTTGCTGAAACTGATAGAACTTTTAACTGTGCTACGCTTACTTGGAAGTAGAAGGTAAAACCCACTTGGGTTGTTTGGGGTTGTTTTTTTTTTCTGTTGGAATTGCTTAGTCTTTTGTGGGATAAAAGAGAAAGAAAGATGGAAAAAGGAATGAAAGTGAAAGAAGAAAATACTTTAACGCTTTTAAAAATCTCTTTACTTTTAGCATAAAACAACAAAACTAGAAGACAATATAACTTCAATTTGTTTAATGGGTTTGGTTTTTTGGTTTTATTTTGGTGGGGGTTTTTTTCTTCTTTTCTGTTTATTTTTTTCCCCTTCATTTTCGAGATCATTAATTTAAAACAGTCTGGTTTTGATTCTAATTTGGTTTTGGTCATTTTTCAGTATTATAAAACAGTTCGTATGGGAGGTTTTTACTTTGGTCTGTTCTAATGGGTTTGGGCTTTTGGTTTAGTGTAACTAATGTTTTGTAATATAAAAGCATGCCAGGGGAATGCTTCTGAGTTTGGCAAAAGGTTTAATGATTTAGCTCATGTCAGGTGTACTTGAGAAAGTCAGATTATTCAGCTGTTACCTCAGTCACTTGAAACTGGTTTCCTTAGGACAGAAGAAACCCTAGGTAAAAAAAAAGCCAGGCTGTTGGCAAGAGAAGTGCTCCAGCAGTTTTGTTCTCACCTCTGATTTCTGTATTCTGCTCTTGTTTACTGGTGGGTGGACATTTAACGTGGGTTTGGTGTGTATAGACCAGTCACTGGTTGTTACATAATTAGGTAATGACGGGCTAATTACTTAACCTTTGCAGGGAAAACTTCATTAGAGAAGTGAAATAGAACTTCTGCTCCTCTTGAGAGGAACTGTGAGGAATCCCAGAGCAAAGAGACACTGAGAGGAGGAAAGGAGAGGGAGAGGAGAGCTCAGTGTGGGATGGTTGGGGAATGGATGTGGCATGTTCTGTGGAATGACACAGAAGCTCATCTTCTATGCTGAGGTTTCCTTGGAGCAATTAAGCTCTGTCTGATTCAGAACTCACTGAAGCAGATGCCTTCATCACCCTGGGTTTAATGAATTCTGGTGCAGCTCTTAAGCAATGGGAATGGCCCTGACTCACTAGGTTGTGGTATTGTTTGGGCACATGCCCCTAAGTGTTAGCATAAGGTGTGTAGCAGGAAAAAAAGTTGGCTGTTGCTTTTTCCTCAGATCCTGAACAACTTTTTTGTCTGAGTCCAAGAAGAATGTCTGTCCATCTCTAATTCTGCCTGCCTTCACTGGCCACCATAGAAAAAGCACCACCTGACTAGAAAAAAAAATAAGGCTCTCATTCCTGCTTGGATGTACTTGTGCTCTGTATTTGTAAATGGTGTCCAACAAAAACCTTATAGTGTAAGAAATCTTTGAAAGTGAAATCACCTTCGTTTCCTAAGGTGAGAGAAGGGTAACATTCATGCTTGTGAATGGCACTTCTATTTCAGATGAATTTTGAGTGTGTGAAGGTTATATTTCCTTGGCTTACCCTCTAGTGCTGTGCTAATGACAGTTGCTTTGGACCATCAAGTGCATGATCTATTTTGGGCATTTGCTTAGTGTGACTGTTGGGTGGGAGCCAGGGAGGGATATCTGTGGAAGGCAGGACAGGATAACATGAAGTGATAGACGTGGGAAACACCAGCAATCAGAGGTGCCACTGGGGGTCTGAACGTTGTGCAACAGGTTTGTCTTCAGCCTTCAAAAACAGGACTCTGGGCTTGAATGGGTTCTTTGTGGGAGATTTATCTCTAGGGCTTTGATCTCTGCAGAAATGGGTGTAAGAGATCAGCGGAAGGGATGAGAATTTCCTGGTTATTTTTGCATGGATTCTACTCACCCACAGAATCAGCTGTGCTCTTTGGAGCATGCTGAGAAATGAGTGAACTTGTCAATCAAACATGAAGTGATTGTGTTCACAGAGGCACTTTGGGTGGGTTCCCCCCTCTCGAAGCAATCTTTTTAACTTGCTCTTCTGAATGGCAATGAACTCTTTCTTAAAACAATGACTTCTTAGGTGTATTTGATTTTATGTTGTTTATAACCATGTACCTTGGATTCTGACAAAGGGAGTAGTCAGCTTGAGGGATTTACAGTCTTTGGGCAAGTCTCAGCAGCATCACTTTTTACCTGGGCATTTTCCTGCACTTGTGTGTGCTCAGAATGTAACTTTGCAATTCAGGGTGAGCAAAAGGTTTGGGCTTTCAGCAAGGTTTGGCTTTGTCCTTTGCTTGCTTTTTTGAACTCTGTAAAGGCTGAACACAGCCAACACTTAAAAAATTCTGCTTTGAACAATAGCAAGCAATATTATAGAAACTTAGTAAGAATCAAATAGCTCAGAGATGTCCTCATTCTTGTAAATATGACTGAAGGATTTATTGACTGTAGTTTCATGATCTGAGCAATAGTGGTCGGTGATCTTTTGGTGAGATGATGAAAGGTTACTTGAAGAATACATCAAGTATTTTTCACTTTGCATAAATCACTTTGTAATTTGCTTACAAAGTGAAATTTGAGTTGTTTATTTTCATTGAAAAGTAAAATAGACATTTTCATCTCAAGCATGAACATGATTTTAGGAATGAAATTATTGAGCAACAGAGTTAACAGAACAGTTCACCTGGCTTCACCTTGAAAAATGATGAAAATATCAACAAAACCAGGATAAAATGTGGAAAAATAATAACACACATTGCAGTGCATCATGCTCACCAATGCAAGTGTTGGTTTCTAGAATGTATTTTATTAATGTGGTGGTTACCCTGGGCTTCAGTGTCACATCCTGTGTGGTGTCTCTTACTTGCCTTGGGTAGCCCAAAAAGAGAGATCATTGCTAAAACGCTGTTACACAGGAGGGCAAGGGAGGTGCATTTGTCTCCATTAAAGTGCTGTGAAACTGGGGTTTGAGCAGGTGTTTTAATAGGAATGCAGCAGCCTCAGAGCCCTGGAGCTGTTCCCTGTGCAGTGCAGGCCTCCAGCAGTGCTGTTCTGGAGAGCCTGTGAGGAATACCGTGCACCTCCCTCTCCTCTGCAGGGGCACCTGTGAGTGTGCCATGAAATGGCAGGAATGGGTGTGCTTGGGCCATGGGCCTGGTGCAGGTCAGCCATGTCACCCCAGAGGTGTGCACACACACACCTGCAGAGAGCACAGGTTGCAGTTCTGGTGGGTAACTGAGATACTCCTCATCATCTGACAGCATCTGTGCCTGTCAGGATTGATGTAGTGGCCCTTCTGCTTGACATAGAACAATAAACATTTTTTCTTCTAATGTGTAGGTTTTGCTAACATCAAATAAAATATATATTTATGTAGAAGCACTAGGAGACTTTCTGTTCCTTTGAAGTAACAGAAGGAGCATATTTGGAAAGGAATTGATACTCAACATGCCACCCATGTATTAGAAGCCAGTGCTTTGTAAAAAGGGCTGGGGCAAACAAAGCAACCAATCTTTTTTTCTGAGGTGAGTGAATGACGACAGCTTGGGTGTGTATTGAGGAATTGTTAGATTTTTACAATGTATTTTCTGCTCACAATACCTGCTTTTTTTGAGAAAAATCTTCAATTTGTGTGCCTTTCTGTTTGTCAGGAATACTGCGATTGCTCTTTGATACTTAGTCCTGTTTTATAGGTCTGCTGAATCATCTTGCAACACTGAATTGAACTTATTTCTAAAGGATCAAAATGGAGCTTTGTTTGCTTGTGAAATATGCTTCACAATATGCACCAGTCAGTTGCCAGTGACTGCACTTTAATAATCTGCAGCAGCTGCATAGAGATAAGGAACTTGGAAGTCCCCAGTGCATCTGAAGGAAGCAGCATCTGGGATTCATAAAGCAAACAGAGCCCATTACATTGACAAGATACACTGTTGAGCGTAGAGATGTTTGAGAATAACTACATGTCTCAATGCAATTTGATTTTATTGTGCTACTAGAAGCCTTACAGCTATTTTACATGTTCTGATCTAAACAGTAGATATTTAGTAGTTGGTCATAGTGCCAGTGTTCATCTCCACAGGAAATAGCAAATTGTTCATGACCTGACTGGCCAATTACTCTGTTCAAATCTATTCTGTTCCCATAACATATATTGCTGTGGAGGTATATCCCAAGGAGTTCTGTGAGTTCTCATCTGCTCCTCTTCCAGAAGCAGCCCAGTGTAATGCACAGATGCTCCAGTGCACCAGTGTGAAGCTGGTCACAGAGATATCAGTTTAAAAGATTGTGTTCAGGACACAAACTGCACAGTTACACAGAGTGACACCTGTAGCAGGTGCTGCTGGTGTTCTTCTCATTTGAAACACCTACTGTGCATGATGGAACATGTGCTGAAAGCTCTGGAGAGGGAATGGACACTTTTTTCCAGCAGCAGTTCAAATGTCTGTGTGCTGTCCTGCCACTGTGCGTCAGGAGCACTGCCTGACCTGAGGAAAAGGCAGCTCTGCCTCCTGGCCTCCCTGGCTGAGGATCTGGCTGAGGGAGTCTGTAATGCTACTTTTTGTGCTCGCTCTCTTTGGTGTAGTGTGGAGGCTTTATTGTCCAGATCTTTGTAAATTATTAATTCATTTTCCTTTCATCATGTTTGTGTTTCTTGGTATGTTCTGTGCTTCCAGTTAGTTGTGTTCTTGGGTACATCAGTGCTGGCCAAGAATCTCCTTCACTTAAAGGTGCTCATCTCTTTCCAGATTTGAGCCCTCACTATTTGGCTGAATTAGTTATTTTGACTGATCAGTGGTAACTTTGGTCATGAATGAGCTGCAATGAATTCAAAGTGCCTGTACCACAAATGTTTGTTACTGAGACTCAGCCTCTTGCAGGATGTAATGAATGTCATTCTTCATTAATATTCTAGTTGCATCATCCTTGAGTATCAATGAGAGACCAAATATGGCTTTCTTCAAGCAACAGAAGGTGGAGGACATTTATGAAATTGGGGAAGAGCTGGGAAGGTAAGGTCGTATTGATGACACCAGTGATTCTAAAAGCTGACACTGGGGATATTTGCTGCTTCCTTCTGCCTGTGATAGCCTGGATCAGTTACAATATACTGCAATAGCAACACACACCTTGACAAAGACTGCACTTTGGATAGGAATTTTTTGTAGTTTTTTTGGGTTTTTTCTTTAGATTAAATGTGCTAACTGTTTTTTCTGTTTCTTTTCTTGCAACTAGGACAACAAAAGGTATGTTTGCATTGTCTTTTGTAGATAGGTGTCTCCTGTGTCTGTGCTTTAGACTTGAGTTCACATGCCTGTTCTCAGAGCCAGCTGGGAACAGGAGCCTGTGGTGCTGTCACCACAGACACAGCACTTCCACTTGTCCTGTTGTTTTGAGCAGCACTCCACAGCACTGTTGTTTTCAGCTGGCTCCAAGCACTGACATCACTTGTTCATATGTGCCTACAAAAAAAGGAGCATGTATTCCTGAAAGGCTTTTTACCTCTCAGATCTTGAGTTGGACTGGTTAATGCTTGTAGATAGTCTTTAATGTATAAAGGCTTATCTGCTGGTATTAATTGCAGGTGTAATTACCAACTGTTACCATGTTTAACCATGAAACACTGCTGGGGTTGTGAACTGGGTACCCAGGGTACTGGGTACTCAGTCTCTCAGCAACATCCAGTGCTCTGGGTGAGGATGGCTGCTTCCCATTCAGTGTCCAACCCTCTAATGGTTTTTGTTTTAGTATCCAAATAGCTAAATTAGGGCTGTACACAGGTTGGCTTCTTTCCCAATGTGTGGCAGGTGGTTTCCATACATGACTGTGTATGTGCCATCACCCTTTCTAAAGGGCCAGTCATGAGCTCCAGTAATACACCTCAGCTGATGATGTTTGGAATTTTTTTTTTTCACTCTCAGCTATTTAATTTTTAGAGTTACTGAGAAGACTCCTTTTAATGGGAGAGGAGTTGAGGTTTGTTTGTTAATTTGTTTTCCATTCCCTTCCCTCTCAGGAAGGCCATAACTATTAAGTTTCCTGGAACTGCTTACTTTTAACTGCTTACTTTTTACTTACTTTACTTTTAACTGCCTAGTACTGAGAGTGTCAGTCTGACACTGAAAACCTCACAACAGTGAGCAGTAAAGAAATTCAGTGTGTGCATGGAGGGTGTAAGAGGTGTGGTTTTTATCAATGAGGTCCTAGGTTAAAGAGTCAAACTACGAAAATGAGAAACTGAAGACTGAGTACTTTATTTTTATTTTGGTTTCTGAATTAGTTTTGGGAATCTTTTGAGATGGTGAACATTATTCTCCAAGCTGATGGATATTGGGGATTTTCAATGGAGAAGTGTAGCTGAAACAATCTGGTGAAGGCTGGCCATTGCTTCTTCAATCAGCCAGAGAGGCTGGTCAAGGTTTGTGTGGTCACAGCAGCCCTCCTCCTCTTCAGGCTGCATGTATAATGTCACGCTGTCTTTATCAGTGTATTTTCACTTTCAGGTTTTGAGGGCCGGTGACAAATGGTATTTTGCTTTGCTAGAAGGAAGTTAACATGCTGGGCAGATTGCAGTGGCTGATCTTTTCCAATGCTGACTGATGCCCTTAGAACCTGTGGATGCCTTCTATTAGTTCAGTTTGCAACAAGCTGTTAGTTACTGACAGGTAGTAGAGGTAGGTTAAAGGATTCATTTATTTTCATTCTGGTGGCAGAAGTCACAAAAAAAAAATGTTTTCAAGCAACATCTGTGAAGAGCCTGTCCTGTTCTTGTCCTCCTCCCTGAGTTTGTCACTTCTTGAGAACAAAACTAGTTGTTAACATGGGCCTAGTGCTTGTTCTAGCAGGGATTCAGCCATCAGATAAAACAGAGTATCTCACTGACAGAGCCAGCACCTGTTTATCTGAAAGTCTTTGCACAGCACTCAGGAAAGGTTGTTCCACCACAGACTGCAGAGCCTGAACTCTGCTCTGGTGATGAAAGGAGGCTCTTCCTGTCATTGTGCAGCATTGAGGGTGACCACAGCAAAGCTCCCCAGCTCGTGTCAAACCCTGCACACAGAGAATGTGGGCAGGCACTGCCCAGCCAGGTCATCCTCGGGGTCCCTGTGGGGCTGGAAGCAGCTCAGAGAGAGATGTCAGTGCTGGGCCAAGGCAGGGGGGTGAGAGAAGGCATTTTGCAGAGAAGGGAGCAGGTTTTCCATGGCTGCAGCTGTGTGCTCTGACCAGCTGCTTAGCTCCAACATTCCCTCAGTCTTTCAAATATTAATCTTATACCAACCTCTGTTGCTCAACTTCTCCAAAGGTACACACAGGGAGCAATCTATCAGGCATGTGGCCTTAGAGACAACTAGCTGATGGCCTTGTTTGTTATAGCAGCTCCATTTGGGAAGCTTAGCATGGCCTGCGCTCAATGTGTGCAATACTTCAAATATACATATATAATTGTGTTGCTTCCCTCAAGATAGTATCAGTCACTTTCAGGTCTGTGGGGACTGAGGTTCTCTAACCATAGCTGAAAGGAAGTTTAAAAAGAGGACTCTCTAAAGTGAATTTAGCAAATTTCAACATTATAAAGAAATAATATGGCTTTAACAATTTGTGCTGTTTTGAGGAGGGCCCTGGCCTAATCCATTTGCAGGGATGTTAACGGCATGACAAATCAGAAGAGGTGAAGACTAACTTGTCTTCCTGGGAATATGCAGCAGGTCAAATAACTGCTGCTTCTTGTGGCAAGGGAGGTGACAGCTGGAGACAACCAAGAATGAAAAGTCTCAAATCAAGGGCACGGTAGGCCCAGAGAAAGAAGAACTGCCCTGCTGAGCTAGGGCTGTAGTTTCCAGGAAAGTGGCAGCAGTAAAGCTCACTGGAAAGCCTTTGATGTAATGTTTCAGTTGCTCTGTTTTGGCTGGGTAGTTGTGGCTTTTTACAACACATGAAGTATTGTACAAACATCCAGGAGCCCTTTGCAGCTGTACTAGCAAATACTGATGGTGCTGGTAGGTACTAGAATTTGAGATGCACAGTGTGATTTATAAAAGGATGTATCATAGAGTCATTAATCTATTACCTAAATGTGGTGCCAGTGAGGCTGGGAGAGCTGTTGACATTTGTGCCTTCTGGGCAGTGTCACTGTTACATGCCAAGCTGGGGCTGAGGGTAGGAAGTGTCATGGAGCTTTTCCCAAAGTGTTTTTACCAGTGCCCATTGAGGAAGTGTGCTCCTTCAGGGCTGTGTGGGCTGGCACTGCTGTCCTGGGCCAGTGTCCTGCTCCTGCAGCTCAGCTCTGCAGCCTGCAAGGACTCACACGTAGCAGAGAAAAACAGACAGACCTTGGAGTGATACTTCTGAGCATGGAAGTCTCCCCCTTTCCTTCACTGTTGTCCTTTCAATGTAGGGAAGGGGCTCTGCCTTCCTCCACAGTGTGGGCCAGCCTAACCACCTGCCACTCCAGTTTCTTGCCTGTATCAGTAACTGGCAGCTATGCTCATTCCTCATCTCCTGGGCCAGTCAATGCCTTCATGCAGAAAATAACCACTGTGATTTCTGTTGATCAGTTTGGACGTAACTGAGCCTCCAGTTTCTCAGCCCCTACTGACCTGGGCTGTGGTTTCATGTTTAAAGCCAAGCTCCATCTTTCATCAGTGGCTTGTTATGTCTCCTGTAGTTCCCCATCTCCAGCTACAAGTGCCTGCTTCCTCTGTGCTTGTGTGGGGAGGATTAACTGTGCTCTCTGAGAGAGGAGATACCCATTTTCTGGGTGAAGCTTTAAAGGACAGCAAATGCAGCATTTTACCAGTGGTAATAGGACCTTGGAGCCTGGCACAAGTCACTGTTCTGACAGTGTAACTAAGTATTTATTTATGTAGTGAAAACAAAAAGCAGAGATAACCCAGGTGCTCTTTGCAGGGCAGGAACCTGGAAATCTACAGTGAGAAGTCCTGGCCCCCAGCTAGTTGGGCTCTCCCTGCTAAACAGAGCTGTGGTTGCAGTTGGTAAAGTTACACTTAACTCACACCACACAGTATCTTCATACCAGGAATGGTTTTTTCTAACTGTAGAAATTGCTCAGTGCTGTGCTTTCTCAGACATGAACTTTAACTCTGTTCTTTGATTAGTTTGCACTTTAAATTAGTTCTTTAAATTTTGAAGAATAACTCTGGATTATTTTCTCTTACAACACACACAAAGCAGGCCTTTGTGTTTGATGCAAAATGGTAATTTAGTTCCTGAGGACTACCCAGCACTTCTGTTGATGTTTCTTGTTACACATCCTGTAAGTCTTGTTTCATGTATTGAATCTTCTGCTGAAACAGTTTTGGCATCTGGAACTTGGTCACAATCACTGTGATTGTTATCAGCTGTCTGATGCAGTCACTGTTCTTGATTTTTTTTCTTTTTAGTCCTTCTAGCAGGTTTCAGTATTAGTTTTCAATGCTACCTTAACTGTTTCCAAATTAAAACATTTGTTACAGAAAGTGCAGGGAAAATGAAAGGTTTTGGTTTTTGGGTTTTTCCTAATAACAAAGTTGCTCTACCCACCATAAGAGAGAAGAGCTGGCCTTGGCCTTAATTTGTAACAAAGTCATGCATTCCTTATCCTCAGCATCCACCTTGATGATGGAAATGATCTCAGTGTATCTCCTCAGTCCATGTCTGGCTTTGAGAGTATAATTAGAGATGATGACCTGATGATGTGGTAGTTCTCACAAAGCTCAAATTTTGTAATTTATTTAACCACTGAATAATAAGCAGAATATTATTTCCAGGAAAATGACATTGAATATTAATCCCAATCTTTGTTTTGCCATTTCTATAAAAATAAAACTATTTTTTCCATTTTGCATTGGAGTAGAAAGCAGATGGAAATTTCAACAGCTAAGAAAATATGCTGTGTATAGAATTAATTCCATACTTCAAAAATGAAAAATATTACTTATGAGTAAAAATGCACATGAAATAAACATAGTGCAGCTCTAATTCTAACTGCACTGGGCAAATTGTTAACATTGAT